AAACCTAATGTAATATTTGTAGATATTTTATCAAGCCATCGGTTGCTGAGGCCATCAGCTCGCCATACTTGAGTAACCCGGTTGAATCACAGTTGGCTGGCCATATTAGGGCCCAGAATGTCAGTGGTGCCAGCTCAGCTCTCCTGACCATTGAGCGACCCGGCCACATCATTTTAAATCAATCAATTGAGTTTATTGGTTGTAGACACTTTTATATTTGACCTTCGACTGATGCCAACTTAGCCTGCACAATTCTCTCCCTGTCTCTCGCGCTCTCTCTCTCTTCAACAGGTACTTTTTAAAGCGGCGGCATTAAAACACCTGGGTACAAACATGCATCTTGGGCGTTTACGGCATTAGCACATTTCGGTTGAGGTAATTAAATAACCGAGTGCCCTACGTGCATTGCCGTTATTTGTTGCGTGAGCATCTTCAAACGAACTGCGAGAGTTGTGAGGCAGCTTTTTTATTTTTACAGTAGCTTGCCACGGAACTTTTTTTTCGGATTTTGTCTGAAGAAAGAGACCGGCATGAATTGCCATCATTTTCGTGACAGCTTATCTCTTCGTGGGCAATCTGACAAGGGGGTAGGAGGGGCGTTAAGAGAGGGACACTCTGAAAGTTCCACACCGGTGCAGGGGTCCCACCACACACGAGGAATTTGACCAGCATGTGGCTCGTCTCGAAGCTGATTTAACGGCACGCTTTAAACAAAAAAAGTGATAAAACCGCCATAAAAAGAAGGAGAAGCAACCTCAAGACTTGCACCGTAAAAAAGAAAAGTTGCACAATGTTGAGTGATGGCATTACATTGGCAAGGACTATACAGTGAGGTGGCGAGGGGTGGGGAAACTGGCACAACGTTTCTGTCAAGTTCTAAGTTGTAATTAAAAAATACTCTTCCTTGTTAAAAAATTTAAAAAAACTGCCCATTGTAAATTACTTGTAATATTTCGTGCAGGTATTAAAACTAAACTATTTTTTTTTATTTTACCAGGTAAGGCCGACTGAGCTACTGTATATAGCTCTTTTTCAGATGGGATCTGACCACAATTGTTAGCTCGAGGAAGTGGCTTATCATCACGTGGACATTTATAGCAGCCAAATACTCTAAAACGCACGTTTCTAAATGTCGAGGGAAAAAACCGGAGGACCCGGAGAAAAATCCACGTGACCACAGGGAGATCATGCAAACTCCAAATATACAGCAGGCCTCAGGGTCGGAGAGAGACGCAAACTCCAAATATACAGCAGGCGTCAGAGTCGGGATCGAACGCACGACCTCCTGCATACCAAGCGAGGTAGTTAACATCTCGCCACCGTGACACCCAAACTGAAAATATAATTCAGAAATGTACGACATTTCAACGTGTTTTATCGTAAAATTGAACTCAAGAGTGAAATTACAATCATCAAAATATATTCCCAGCTTTGAACGGACGATAAATACTTCAATCTCGATCGACACTAACAGACTCCACTAAATGTACTTGTGCAGTGAGCCCGTCGCCCCTTGTTCGAGTCAAAACAACAGTGTAAGCAACTGCACTGGGCGGTGGTGCACTCGCACAAATCAAGCAAAAACAAGAAAATCTTGAATTGAAGCTTTCGTGACTGCAGGAATCCTTACTCTTTGGTTCTTTCGGTAAAGTCACGTAGGTAGAAAAATAATAATAGATAACGACGTTTCGATCGCAACACGAGCGGTCGTCCTCAGGCGGAAAAAATAATCCAGCAGCAGTGGAACTGCTGAACCAACGAGAGAGCTGTTACCTACGTGACTTTACCGAAAGAACCAAAGAGTATAAAAACAAGAAATTCACCACTTTTGTCATCAACACTGCCTTACAGCGTTTCAGGCCATGGCCCTGCTTCAGAGTAGACGCACTTACTGTCAAATTTGATCCTCAATGGCTCCCCCCTCACTCACTGTGCCACTATTTAGAGCACTGCATCATTAATGTCAAAACTAACACAGCATTTCAGTTCTACGAGCCCTTTATTTGTGATCCAATTATCCCATCTTGGATGAACCTGTACCATTAGCACCGCTGTGGGGTCATGTTTACCTTCGTGCTCATTGAAGAATGAATCAATCTCATTTGCACACAGGCATTCCCACTCTTCCTTCCCAAATTGATTCTTATTCCCATTCTTTTTGCGAAGCTCGTCCACCAACTATATCTCGAGTGTAAAAACAGCTCGGCTCAATGTTCCCGTTGTTTAAGAACCCTGGGTATGCCTTTTTTACAAGAGCTCTTTAACATATGGAGTGGCCATGTCAAGACAGGGAGGATTGTAACATCGCAACCTGTGTGTGACTAGACTGATCACCTTTGTTACGCAAGTTCGTGCCACTCATCTGCAACGCCGTGTACTCTGGCTCTGAAGCAAGTTTAGTATGCGAACTTTGGGGAAAGCGACGATGCGAGGGATATTCCAACGTTGAGCAGTGGGAGGAAAATAAGTGGAAAGCGACGTGTTTGCGACATGCAGTGTGGCGGATGATCGCATGTTGGATGAGACTTAGCAATCGGAGAAGCAAGGAGTGAAATTGTGAAGGCGTCGTGGGCACATTAACCATGATAGCAGCGATTGAAGAGTGGACAAGGAAGTAACTGACCACCGTGTATGTGTGTGCGGTGGTGGGGCACCAGCGGTTAGCGTGCTGCGCTACGAACCCGGCTACCCCAGTTCGAATCCCGTTCACGGCAGCAAACACCAGTGACCATTATCTAAATCCAGTCCTGGGCCTCCCCTAGGTCGAATCAGCCTCAAACGAGTACCTGGCGCGATGTGTAAACATTCCTACTCCAATAGGCACAGCAGGTACTGTGCCTGGGGCCTATGAAAACTAAAGGGTCTAAGAAAAAAATATTTTACCATGGTTTTCTAACTTTGCCTGAAATAGCAGCCAAATAGCCTTAGTCCCTGACACTTCATAAATGATCATCAGTTGCCATAGTCAACGTGTTGCCATATAGTCAACTTGTTGACTATATATATAGTCAACTTGTTGACTATATGGCGAGTGATTTTTCTATGCAGTCGTTTTTGACAACATTTTGTATTTTAGAAAAAAAAGATTTCTTTAATTAATTTTGCCACTTAATTTGTTGCCTCATCGTTTACATTTCTTTGCAGTGGTAACAAGTCGTTGACTCGTTGTAAGTGAGGCTTACTACACCTAAAATAACAGTCTAAAGAATCCTTCAGCTTAAAGGAAAGTCAAGCAACATGGCGCTTGCCATGTGGTCGTCCTCTCAGAACATTGAAATTTGTTATCGATGAAAATCAACGGCACCATTTTAAAGCTGCGTCATCCGACATGGTAATCATAGTAGAAAAAAAACAATTTGGCGAAGACATTTTGCCTGTAATATTTTGAGGCTTACCTAGTATTTTTTCTTTCAACAATTTCAAATTAAATCTGCTCATCTGCGCCGCAGGGCACCGACTAAATAGTGAACGTATCAGCAGTAACGACATCGGTCCAGAGGCTGGATGAAGTGGCGCGTGAAACAAGTGGAGTGACAGCGGAGGGAGTAACACGGGGCAGCAGAAGCAGCAATTTCAAAATGTCTAACACGTAGGATTTCGCGACCAATATCACCCATAATAGAGGTTTTTTGGGTTAGATCGCGTAAATATATAAAAGTGTGCTGTACTAGAGACGAATTGGCATACTCTTTGGTTCTATTGGGTAAAGTCACGTAGGTGAAATAAAATAACAAAAAATCACGACGTTTCGGCCACAACACAAGCGGCCTTCATCAGGTGAAGGGACGAGACTGTCTGGAGGACAGCGCTGGAGTGGAAGAAGCCACGCTTAGATCACGACCTTTAAGCTGTGTGAAAAGAAAAAGACCAAGCGCCTTGACAAAGGAATTAGCATATCATTTAGCATTGAAATGGCTCATTGAAATAGCTAAGTTAAAGTATACACATCCGCAGAGGTACCCCTTGACAAAGGAATTAGCGCTGGAGTGGAAGAAGCCACGCTTAGATCACGACCTTTAAGCTGTGTGAGAAGAAAAAGACCAAGCGCCTTGACAAAGGAATTAGCATATAATTTAGCATTGAAATGGCTCATTGAAATAGCTAAGTTAAAGTATACACATCCGCAGGGGTACCCCTTGACAAAGGAATTAGCATCGAATTTAGCATTGAAATAGCTGAGTGATTAGCTTGTAACTGGTCACAGAAATAGCTATGTTAAAGTTAGAGCATATACATTCACCGAGGCACCTAGTACTCATCAAACAGGAGAATTTAGCGAAACACAACCACGCTCAGACATCGGACCTGTGTGCGAGCAAACAAGGTGTTCTGACAAAGAAATTAGCACTGTCCTCCAGACAGTCTCGTCCCTTCACCTGATGAAGGCCGCTTGTGTTGTGGCCGAAACGTCGTGATTTTTTGTTATTTTATTTTCACCTACGTGACTTTACCCAATAGAACCAAAGAGTATGGATCCTAGCAGTCACGAAAGCTTTAAATCTAGAAACGAATTGGCATGTTCGTTGGCTGTGTCAGGTGGTGGCGGGTTTTAACGACACATTTATATATTTACGCGACTTAACCCGAAACACCTCTATTGTGCAGAAAGTTATCACTGAAGGAGTGGCAGCGGCGATATCAACATTGAGCAGCAGCAGCAACTGCAGAAAGCTATCACTTGAGGCCGACGAAACAGAAGTGCCTAGGGCTACCAGTACCTTAATCCGGCACTGGCCCCGGGTGTGGTGCTGGCACATTCACACCCCCTCGTGTGCCACCCTGCCATCCTTCACAGGTGCTGCACGCTAACAGCACTTATCCCAAAAGTCTGTTGAGGCTATCCGGGGGGATCTTTGTCTTTGCGGTGGCGAACAATAATTGAACAGTGCCCGTCAGAAGCACTGAAGAGCACAAAAAGCAGCGAGATCTGTGCGACACGCAGCCAGACCCTTCGAGGGCAGAGGCTGTGGCGAAAGTCAGCTCAACTCGGACTCACTCACCGAACATAGAGGCATTTTCGAAGGATGATCGTGCCCCCTCGGATGACTCTCCAACGTCAGACATTTTCAATTCTGCGCCTGAGAAGACAGTCACACACAAAGCGGCGCCGCCGCTGCAGAGAAGAACCGAGATTCACTCGCCCACCATCACTGACTGGTACGTAGCAATGAAAGAGAAACATAATAATGCGACGCTTACAGACCAGACAAACCGCCGGGCCAAGAATGAATCACTCGCTTTGGCTCCTTTTTTTTGTTGTTACCGCACAGATGGTGGAATGAGAAGCGAGCGAGCCAATATGCAAGGCAAAGGAGTTCACGTAAGGAGAGTGGTTTGAGCAACACGCGTGTGCGTGTGTGAGTGAGCGTATCTTTGTGTGTGTGTGTGTGTCTTGCCTTTCCCGGAGATAACGACTGACAGCAAATTATATAAACTCTGTCGAGCCACATGGGCAGATTTGTTATTATTATAGGTTCCCATAACACGCCAAAGATTTACCAGCGCTTGCAAAAAGGATATACACTCTGGGGCATTGATGTTTATATCTACACTACGTGCATATGTATGCTTTGCTATTGAATGTATAATTTTCATTGTCTTTAGATGCCGCAGCGTCTAGATTGGAGGTCATTTGTCAATCCACTGCTGCGTTAAGGCTTCCTCGTGCTGTCGAGGTTCTTGTTGGACGATACTTTACGACGCTGGTTCGTGTGAGTTTTGTGACGGAGGGGATAAGGGGACTGGTTCAGATATCACACATCACTGATGTTATCCATGGGAATCAACCTTTATATCTCTGCGCTCTTAGCGTATTGCGCTATCTATTTGCACCCTGGCAGATTTACATGCGATATGAAAACACATTGTGCGATTCTATTTGTCCTGAGCCAGTGATAGAAATTTCAAAATATTTAGGACAGGGAACAGCTGACCCCTAAAACAACCTCTACTTTTTTTGTATCGTAAAAAATGCTTTCCCATAATACTGCATTTTCCATCGCAGCCTCATTTGCCAAAAAAACCCCACTACACAACATTGACCTTTGACCCATTTTAAAAGGTGGACTGCATCTCTGTTGTGCGAGGCATTGCAGTAATCACACGTGGCTCTCTGCTTTGCAAAGAATGCCCTTCTACCATTCACTAAGCGATCATTAGAAAAAATACCGCACAGTGCAGTACTTGTGCGCGTGCAGATTTATCCTGTACCATTAAGAAAAGCTCCAAACAGTGCTGATTGAGCGTGCAAAATAAGAAAAAAAAGTCTCTGGCTTGTGGCTCACTGGCAAATGCACTAGTTTTTTTTTTTAAACAAACAACGAGTGATAGATACAGATGCCAGTGCTGGCCTCCTCCAGCCTGTTTTAGCACAGACGGACATTTTTTGCAAGATGCCTGCTTAGGCATTAAGCAGAACAGCAGAAAGCATCCACGTCACTGGTCACCTCTCGCCCCACGTAGCCTGGAATATTTACGTTGGGTCAAGAGTTTATGTATTTAACTTGGCGTTTTTTTGTAACTGTATATTTTATCTCTGTATTTTTTGTATTCGTGTTTAATGTTACTACTGTATATGCAATGGAAAGGTGTTTATATGTCCGCCGTTTTTTTAATATTTAATCTTTTTGATAGACTGCGCATTGAGTATTGTAAAATGCTGTCTCAAAAATCTTACTCTGCCTTCTCTGTTTAGGGCAAGGGTGGGGAACGTCCGGCCCGCGGGCCGTACAAGACCCGCGAAATCATTTGGTGTGGCCCTGCCAAGGCAACCGCAGGCGGGACTCGAAATTCAATAAATCTAGGAGCAAACCTGGAGAAGCAGTTGCGAGTAGCAACATCATCAATACCAGCTAACATCACACGCCTCACCAAAGAGAAGCAGTTCCAGCCATCACATTAGGGGTGAGTTAATTAAATGTTTGACCAAATACAAGAGGCTAATTTTTAAGTTCATAATTTTGTATGGCCCGCGAATTATGTTATAATTATCCAAATGGCCCTTGGCAGAAAAAAGGTTTCCCACCCCTGGTTTAGAGCATGGCCATTGTTCAATTAGAAAATAGTAGGTTATTTACTTGAAATTCATTCATATCAGGATTTGCTAACGAGCAAAGCAATCATGCATTTTCAGCTTGACAGTACACCGTACAATGTATACGCGTCGAATTAAAATCATTGAACCCACGTGAAAATCTGAGCGGTCAACTTCTGACACTTCAATTCAGCTCGATAAATTCTGCTTAAACAAAAAAAAAACGCACCTCAGCCTCGGCGAAGCGTGACCAAAGCCGGCCCCTCAGTTTCCAAATCAACGAGCGCGCTCACGCAAGCCACGGGTGTGTTTTTTTGGGTTTGCAAGACATTAGGAGCAAAACGCCGCGGAATGCAATGAGGACCATCGCTGTGCGCGCATCCTCAACAGAGCTTTCGCGTGACATTTTGCAGAATTCGTCTGTTTTTTTGCGAGCGCCCGTTGCCGAGGCAATAATCTTGAATCGTTTGTTTGCCCCCCGCCTCCCCCCTTTTTTGTTATTTCTCCTCGAGAAATGAGAAATGCAAGGGGACACTTCACGGCGCTTTGTATTCTTCTGAAAGGGAGACACGTGTGTGTGCGCGTGTGTGTGCGTGTATGCGCGCGTGTGTGTGCGTATGTGTGTGCGTATGTGTGCGTGTATGCGCGCGTGTGTGTGCGTATGTGTGTGCGTATGCATGTTGTGCACCGCTGCCTTGGCAATGGCTGTGCACAAATGGAGTTGGAGCTCCTCTGTTGTAGGAACATCACTTTATTATGCCGGGATAATGGGTGTCCCGTGTGTCTGCGCGTCCTTGATGCCTTGCGTTGTAAGAGCAGGCTTCAGGGTTTTATTTATTTATCTTTGAAACACGCGACACTGGCAAAGACGCGATACACATTGTGTCGCGCACACGGAGATGCGAGCGAGACCTTTTAGGCAGCCTGGCACAAACGATGTGCGTACATTATGTTCAACTTCTTTCGCACCGTACGTAGCCAACCGTACTAATCGGAGGTGCAACAAACTAAACACTAAAGCAGTTCTAAAGAAATGAGTTTTATTTGAAGGATATATTCACATATGTACACTATATTCTGAAAACATTACCACCACCATCATTCATTAACACCACCGTATGGAATAAATACAGAAACTATACTGTATATAGTAACGTGCTGTTATAGGCAATTTGACCTCTTCAAAGCAAGATGAAAAATCACCACTCCCAAAAAATGTGTTTTGCAATGAACGCATACAACAGATACACGATATCAGTCCTGCACTAAGCGACGTTGTTGCTTATGCAAATGCTAATATTTAATGGAATTGGCAAACATCTGAATCCATGACCCCTCCTGAAAAAAAGGAGTCTTCAAATTCACTTAGGCATTGTTGGTTAAACAAAACGCTGCATGAAAAGAGATTTTCACGAATGAGTTTGCATAGCTCCGTCAATCCACTGCTGGACAAAAACTATCCCCCCCATGCTACGCATCCTTGTACCCACCGGTTCAATGTTAATGCGCCATGATATTGAGGGACTGTGTGTAGTCCTGGTGTGGTCTGGGTCTATTTGCTGCCTTGCCCAAGCTTGCAATGTGTTGAAAAATCGACAGCAATTGATGTACTTATGCAATTAGTTCTACTTATTTATCGTGACTTGCTTAACCTTTCCTCTATTTGCACTCCTATCGGTTTCATTTTATATTGTTTGTTGTTGTAACTTGCTGACATCTGTGAAAAAGAGCATCTTAGCTCCTCGGATTCTTCCTTCAGTCTAAATCAAGATTCTACTTCTGACGTTGGTGTGTTTGACCTCACTCCATCACACTGCTCACTGCGCATCCGGGTTCGGTTTGTGCAATTTCACGTGTATGTGGCTAACCTATTTCATCCAAAAATTCGCTCTATGAGGTTTGAAGTCACTCGACATGCGGCTATGCGGTCGGATGCGGGGCATTGTATGTGTGTGTATACTGTCAGCCAATCATCTCAGTCAGTCGACCCGTGGCACCTTGGCCTGCCCCGCGACCAGTACCGGATTAAGCTACTGCGGGGCCTGTAGTATATTTTATGAAGAGGCCCTAGAAAAACACGGATTTTTTTTACTTGCAGATTAAAGTAATTTTATTTTTTCATTTGCTATACATCCAGATAATACGACAAATCTCTAACCTTAAACACCCAGTCGTTCATAAAAGTTGAAGGCAGTTTAGTACTATAGTAATAGAGCGAGTGCAGAATCACTAAACCGGAATTGATAGCTTCAAAGCATTTAGCACGGGGCCCTTGTAAGTGTGGGGCCCGTAGCATATGTAGCTACTTTCGCTACTCGGATAATCCGGCACTGCCCGTGATCTCCTGCCAGCTGGCGTTCGACACTTGACGCGTCCTCAAAGTGCACATAGCCTGGCACAAGCGCCGTGGTCAAGTGACCGCCACTTCGTGGCGAATGGCGGCTGTTGTTGTTTGCCCTACTCGGCAGGCAGCTGTCTCCTCGTGCGGATTCCCTTTTGTGCGCCCTTTGTTTAGGACGCATCTACTACTCCGACGACAACGTAGAGCGAGGGAGAACCCGTACCAAGAATGTCACTCGCACACCGATGTTAGCCGTGTCCAGGAAATTAACTCGGAATCACTGGGTTCACAGCACAATTCGCTTACCGCTGCGCCAACCACTCCAGCAATTGTCCTTGTTGCCAGATTAGCGCATGCATGATGAAACGAATAATGTTTTTAATGAAGCAATGTGTGTTAATGACAACCACATTTTCACATAGAAGTTGTTTTTAAATCTATTTACCACTTAGATGCTCAAGAGATCTTGGCGTCAAGTTTAAGGTTATAGCTGTGCAGTTTGAACTGGATTTGTTTTAAAATAATTATACCGTATTTCATATCTTTATTCACGCAGTTATTACAGTTGTTGAGATTATTTAACATTTCATTAACGTAGGAAATGTGACTCTGTGTATATTCATGTATTTGTGTGCATCCACTTGCACTCGTGTTTAACAAAGCGATCGAGACGATGGATCCAGCGGGCCGTGGTTCTTCTGATC